AAAGAATTAACAGCTGTTTGTGGAATCGAATTCAAGGGTCGTGTAACTAACAGATTGTGTCTAAATCAAGAGAGAATCTCAAAGCCAAAGGTAAGAACACTGCTTTTTAATAAATCAGTGTATAAATATTGATGTAAGGTATGACATTATTAATTGCACATGCCTCGAGCAGAATCGACGCTCAGTAAGAAACTAACGGAACGCACCTACGTCGTCAAATCGTGACTACAGTTTCACAGTCCTTTATCTCAGCAAGCTTTCTGATGTGTGTAGGTTAGATTACAGTACGGGTAACATCTAAATTTTGAGTTTTTCGGCCGTGGAACGCAACATGATAGAATCAAATTGATCTCTAAACTGAAAGCAGAAATCGAAAGTAAAATGAGAATACTTGGGAAATATTATTCCTCCAGCTGAGTTATTTTGGAAATCAAGTTATGTTCTTTGCTCTATTGTTAAAAGTTTACGTGATATACTTGTACAATTTGAAGCAGCAACAAGTATAAGGATAAAAGCGTCTGTTCTGATAACAACCATAAAATATCTTGACTGCGAAAACACTAGAAGGAATTTAGGATAGTGGTGTCTAGAAAGTCCAAGTTTTCACAGCTTGTTCTTCATGCAGGCTGTAATAGTTACATTTAGTATAGGAGTACGACCGAAAGGCATACTGTTGCGAGACTGCAGATCTTAGAGAGGGTTTTTGTCTAGCTGGTCCTTCCACTCGTCAATTTAAAGTAGCATTACGGAATCGCGCCCATTGAAAAACGTCGCACGGGAAAATGCAAATAAGCTAGAAAAGGAAAAGAGAGCATGCGTAACTTCATGCAGGACTGTGTTCGCAAGTATTGTTTCAAGTATTGCCGGTGTTCGCAAGTATTGTTTCTTGCCCAGACAACCGAAACAGAGCGCTATTCATCGAAGAAGAACAGCCGTAATCTTAATTAAGCGATATTGTTTAAAAATCGATCAAATGTAAAATTATTTATTCAAGCTGAGCGTTTTTTTCATAAAACTTTACCAAAATCTCGGACCATAGACTTACTGATGACGTACTCTCTGGTTATCTCGGAATTGTTTTCGACGGCAATACTGCACTGAAACACTTAG